TGAGTTCTGGGGCACTGATTTGTTCTTTTGTTTGAGCCATTTTGGGGGGGGGGGGTGTCTGGTTGCTCCTGTTATGGTGAGGGGCGGAGCCTTAGGTGTTCTCCAGGGCTGGACACCCCAATCGCTAGATTGTGACATTGTATGTGAGGGCAGGGTTGCAAGGAAACAATGGTGGTAGTTCTGTTTTCCTGGGACCTCAGTCCCTTCCCTAGGATCCTTGCTTGTGCGCTCTTCCCTGCTCCACAATTGCTGCCTCACTGGGTCTGCCAGCTGCCGCTTGCGTACTCAGGGTCCACCCGCTGCGATCTTGCGTGCCCCAGGTGCCTTACACACTCTCAGTTGCCTTATGCGCCCAATTCTTCTATTCTGCATGCCGCAACCCGCGCCCCGTGCCCAGCTGCTTGTCTCCGCCCCTCCTACCTGTCTGGATAAATGGGTCTCTTTCAACTTCTTGGCTGTCCGACTTCTATTCAGATAAATTTTCTATCAGTTCTGGGTGTTATTCTGCCTCTAAATTGTTGTTGTTCCAATCTTGGTTGTGCAGGGAGGTATGGTGCGTCCACCTATGCCTCCATCTTGCCGGAAGTCCTGACATTCTTATAGTTCAATCTTTAATTTAATTTTGTCTTGAATTTCTGGAAGCAGATTTTTTTTGCAAAAAAAAAGGGCATATATATTTAAGGTTTTTTGTTATTACTGAATGCCAAAATACATCAATTGAATTTAACTGAAACCTATAGAAAGTGTTGCAGCAATTTGAAATTCTACCAGTAATGCGTGAGAGTATTTTCTTCTACTTTAATTAACAGTGGATATTACCATTAAAAACAAAGAACTTCCTGGCTGGTATAGCTCAGTGGATTGAGCATGAGCTGCGAACCAAAGGGTTGCCAGTTCGATTCCTAGTCAGGGCACATACCTAGGTTGCAGGCCAAGTCCCCAGTGGGGGCCACATGAGAAGCAACCACACATTGATGTTTCTCTCTCTTTCTCCCTCCCTTCCTGCCTCTCTAAAAATAAATATAAATAAAATCTTTTAAAAAAACAAAGAACTTTGCTAATTTGATGGGCAAAAGTACTATCTTGCTTGATTTTTGCATTTATTTGATCTCTAGTAATGTTGAACTTTTTCTGTTTATTGACCATTTGCATATTTTTCTTTTTTATATATTTTCTTTTTAAAATTTTGACTTTAGAGAGGGAGGGAGAGAGAGAGAACCATTGATTTGTTGTTCCATTTATTTATGTATTCATTGGTTGATTCTTGTTTCTGCCCTGACTGGGCATGGAACCTCCAGTCTTTGTGTATCAGAGATGATGCTCTAGCCAACTGAGCAAAGTGGCCAGAGACTCATATTGTCTTTTAATGTCTTTGTTCATTTTCCTTTGGGGGCACAGTTTTAAAGAAGGCTGAATTCTTTCATAAAATAAATAAATCTGAAACAAATAAAAAGTAGAATTCACATTTTTTTTAAAGTATACAGTGTGATGGGGTTTTTTTTATTGCTGTTCGAGTACAGTTGTCTCCATTTTTCCCCACCACTTCCTTCTGCCCCACCCATCCCCATCTCCCACCCCCAATCCTACCCCCCTTTGGCTTTGTCCATGTGTCCTTTATCCTCGATAACCCTTAGAATTCACATTTTGGTACTATTTCACCTTTTTACAGTGTCCCATAAAATATTCAATATCCTCTAAAATTTTACTTAAGGGAAGAATGATCTTAAACATAAATTGTAGTTTAAAATGTTAGAAAAATTTTGTTTTTATATGACTGTAACAATCTTCACATATCTGCTTCAGATTTTCCAGGACTGCCCCACTCTGCTCCCCTGGTAATTGATGATAGTAAGGTCTGTGAATTACCAGAACTGCTCTAACATGAAAGAAAGTTCCTGTGAGTCTGAGAAAAAAAGTCAACGTGAACACTTTCCTCAAGGTCTTACTTAATAATAAATCATTGATGATAGCGGTTGGTTTAGCTTAATTTTCTTCTACTTTTAGAATTATCGTTTAACAAATATTTTCAGTATTTTAGAACAGAGATTTCATATTTTCAGCCTGAGAGATGGATTCATTCAGAATTTATTGTCTATTCTTTTATCCTGCTCTATTTTCCTTATGGTACTTACAACTAATTAATATTATATAATATGGCTATTTGTTATGTATCCATTCCAATAGTATGGTAAGATCCACAAATGCAGATACCTAATCTCTTCTTTAAAATTTGTCAACTACAGCTAACACACAATATTATATTACTTTTAGGTTTACAGTGTAGTGATTAGACATTTATTATATATAACTTACAAAATTAACACCCCAATAAGTCTAGTACTTACCTAGCACCATACATAGCTATTACAATATTACTGACTATATTCTGTGTTCTGTACCTTTTACCCTGGTGACTATTTTTGTAACTGGGAAATTGTACATCTTAATCCCTTCACCTTTTTTACCCACCTACCCGTCTGGTGATCATCAGTTTGTCAAAGATTTAATCTCTTAATCAAGTTATCTCCAATTCCTAGAATACTACCTGGCATATAATGGACTTTCCAAAAATGTGTTGAATCAATGTATTCAGTAATTATTCACTGAACCTCCACTGTACCTTAGGAACTGGACAGCTACACTTGGGAGGGAAAATTGCTTGCTACATTGTAAAAAATGTCCTATATTTGTGTCTTAATTTAGAAAGAATCTATTGATTCCTTCCTATAAAAATGAGAAGTTTATTGCCCTTTGCATTAGCTCTCTTATCCTTTCCAAATCCTGATTTTTGTTAAATTGTATTTCTTCTAGACGTTTTCTTTATATCTTTAAAAATAGCATATGTAAAATTTTGAATCTTGATTTGGCTCTCTAGAGAGTATCTACCTTACTTCTGGGAATGCAGTTGAAGACATTAGTGATTCCACTTACATTCCTATTCACCTTGCCTCTTCCCTCCCACTTTTTGGTGATTTAGTATGCTTACCTTGCCATGGTGAATAATAAATGTATCTTCCTTATATGTCACCTAGTTGGTTCTAAAAGTTAAGGACTAAAAACCAACATCTAGAATATTGTTATGTAAATATTACTCAGGACACAACAAAAACATCATGTAAATGGACCCAAAGGAAAATATAACCACAAAGTTCCTTTACTTTACTTATTGTCTATTAATCAGGAAAGGTCTATATTAGCACATGTAAGCCTAATGTCCCCACAGTGAGTGGTTGTCTTTATGTTCTGGCTTCCTACAATATTTTTCTTATCTCTGTACTGGCCCATAGACTGTTGCATTACAATTTATCAGCTCACATAGCTCTCTACAAGCCAAACGGTTTTAACTTCCTTAGCGGGGTGTGTGTGTGTGTGTATGTTGTGTGTGTATGTGAGTGAGAGAGAGAGAGAGAGAGAGAGAGACTTGAGTGTAAAGCCAATGCTATGATCACTTTCCATTCAACACACAGAAAATTTGGGGTATAGTTTCAAGAGTTTTATAGACCTTCCCCTGGACATTTTATGTAATAAAGGAAGTATTGTAAGCACATTTTTTCTTTTCTTTTTTTCAGAAGCCACTGAGACTGTGTCTGTCCTTCCTCTCTTACTTTCCCAAAGAGAAGAATGGTCATCAAGGGCCAACAGCATTTGCAAAGCGCACCAAAGGCTGGCTTCACGCTCAGTAGAGAACACCGCGCCCCCTCGCGGTTGCAGGTGCTCTGCACACTCGGAGAAACTTAGAAACTAGACTCATGATTCCTGAAAGTAGTCTTATGTGGGGAAATGTTTATTGTAGAATCCAGGCAGTGGACATATGGATATTCATGTACAATTCTTTCAACTTTTGTAAGTGTTTGAAAATTTTCATACTACGTAGGTAAAAGTGACTTGTGTTCCGTAAGCATGGGTATACTGTATTTGATTTTTAGATTTTCCTTGTTTGCAGAACTATGGAAAATCTGAATAGTTCCCATGGTACACTTTAAACCAGTACATAAGTCTCCTTTTGGTAGAAAATTTTATTAACATAACCAGAAAATTTACCAAATACAAGTTAGGTAGCTCAAAATATGTAATTACTACACTGAAAATGTGACCCAGTCATTTATGCAAATTTCGGAAGGAATGGTTTTGTGGCTTTAATGCCACTGGTCTCCTAGCTGTGAATTGCTTTATTGACTGCACCCATGGTAGACTAGTCTATTTTAGTTTCCCTCTTTTAGAAGAATATAACAGCAAATTTTGACATCTTCCTTTTCTTAAAACCACATTATGCTTATATATCAAGTTTGGAAGCAGTTATCGAGGTAGCGTGGGTAGTGTACAGACGCTGCAGCCAGGTGATTGAGTCTGGATCCTATTGGCACTGCATAATAGAGATAATGGTCTGCATAACACAAGGTTGTTGTATAATACTATGACATGGAGAAACGGCAGTTGATTTATTATCTTTATCATCACCTGACAAGTCATAATTGGGACTTGACATGAAGAAGGAGGCTAGGCCAGTTGTCTTAAAGCCCTTTCTGTCTAGAATTCTGCGGTAAGGTCTGAGACAAATACTTCAGCTCTGGTCTGCCTTTTCAAAGCAGCTGTCACTTGAAAATCCCAGACCTGACACCCAAGCACGGTTCGTGATGAAGCCCCTCAAGCACCGAGGAAACTGTTGATCCTGCGCACGCGCACTGGTGCTTTCACGCTCCGCCCATCTGTGGTGAATGGACTATTCTATTCCTGAGATGGAATTTGGAAGCCTAGACCTGGAAGCACAGGTGCGTTACTAGTAGTTCCTGCATTTGGCTGCATAAGCGGTAACTTATTACTGTATATTTCTAATCTGACGTATGCAACAGTCTTCTGAAAAGAGTTCGGAACGGCTCCACCGTCTATCCTCCCCCTTTCCACTGGGAACGTTAGGGCTGGCCGACTTGAAGGCCAGGTACGGAAGCCCAGAGGGACCCGCCCACCTGTAGGGGCTCGCACATCCCACTGCGCCCCGCCTCCCGGACACCAGCGGATTCTCCACCCAGTGGAGACTCGGACAGCTGCTCCTGGTCTCCGCCCCGCCAGCGCCAGCGGTAGGCGCTGGGGACGTCAGCGCTGCCAGCGTGGAAACGGTGGCGGAGCACGGGAGGCGGAAGTAGCGCCTGGGACTGCGATCCTCCGTCGGGCTCCGCCTGCTGCCTCTACCATGGATGCGTCCCTGGAGAAGGTTCGTACTTGGGACCGGAGGCGGCACCGCGGCCTGGGGTTTCCACCTCAGCAGCGGCTGTTTCCCTGTCGCGAGCTGCCGTTGTGACTGGGGAGTGGGCAGGGGGTTAACGGGCTTCACCTGAGGAGGCCTGGCCCCGAGGGGGTCCAGCCCAGCGCTCACGACAGAGGCCTGGTCACGATATGGGCCGGGAGTCTCTCGGGTCCCTGTGGACAAAGAGAGTCTGAGCCGGGTTCTGCCACGGGCCGCGAGCACCCTGGAACCTGATGCGGGACCCACCTTGGGGCCTGCTTTGAGTTCGGCTCGCCAATTTGGATGACAGAGCTAACAACTTGTAGCCCCAGAAGTGCCTGAAAAGGAGCCCCAGTTGTCTGGGGGCTAGCTGCAATCCTGTAGGTTTTCTGTGGTTTCCAGGGTAGAAAGAAAAAACAGTAAAGCAGTGGTTTTCCAGCTTCAGAGTGCCTAGGAATCACCTGGGGCCCTTGGTTAAAATCCAAATTTTCAGCTCTGGAGGCCGAACCTCTGGGGGGCGGGACCGGGATCTGCGTGTTTAACAAGTTCCCCACGTGATTCTGATGCAGTAGTTTGTGAACACAAGTTAAGACCTCAGCATTCAAGGAAAGGGTGGGTTTTCTGTAGATTGTGAGTTTCGTTTTGGGACTTGCTGCTACTCCACAACTTTTTGGCTCTTTCTTTTGTTGGCGAGGGAGAGACCCTCTTGTCAACCCGAAATCCGCTGGCAGCAGCATTTTCCTCTGCTTTCCCCTTGGGGGAACTCTAGCGTAATGTACCTGGCTGACTGCATTGGTCTGTGAAATGGATTCTAATTGTCCCGGGGTTAGGGCTTGTGAATGAGAACCAGGGCTTGGATCTCTTCATGGATACCTACTTTCAGAACCTGACATTCTGCCCTCCCTTAAAGCCTTTCTCCCTGTTCAAACTTGGGAGTCTGCTTGTCAAGACAATTTTTCACACATGTAGAATTCAGGAGCAATGCTAGTGTTTTAGGACTGCATTCTTTTAATTTTGAATTGACAGAAATAACATTTTGTCATTTCTCAATGCAACAGCTTCTGTGGATTTGTTCACTTGTCTCTGGAGGGTCGAAGGGAGTAATCGTACAAATTCATCCAGATGTCTTCATGTGCCCACAGTGGTAGAGCCCACGCCTAGGCTGTATCTCATAAGTTGGGGAGAATGCAACCATGAAAAGAAAAGGAACGTGTTCATCCACTGCCTTTCTGGCGAGTGTTACATGTTTTTCTGGCTAGGAATAAACTCTCTCCAGGCTTTTGATTAGCAGTGTCTACTTTTGGGTACTTTGAGTTTTAGTATGGATCAGTGATTCTCAACTATGAGGCAGTTTTGTTCCCCAGTGGATATTTGGCCAATGTCTGGAGACATTTTTGATTGTTGTAACTAGGGGGTAAGGAGGACTGCTTGCACTGTGTGGATGGTGGCCATTGGTGCTGCTAAACATTGCGCAGGACAGCCCCAAACCAGAGAATTATCTGCTCAAAATGTCAGTCGTGCTGAGGTTGAGAGCACCCTGACCTAGACCGTGAGTGCAACACCAATAGTTGAATACACTATTCAGTGTTTTCAGTGTTTTTACCCCTTCAGTGTTTTCTTTCCAATTGCATGAGGAGATAGGATGGGCTTTTGTCATTTCAGTTAAAACCCTAAAGAACTGGGGTGATCTTTCCTCCAAGAATAGTTCTTCGTAGGCATATTTACAAAACAGTGGGTTGGAATCCTGCTTTAGTTATTACTTTTCTGACATTTGGTTAGTAGATTACAGCAGTTCTTTAAATGTTAATTGATGATAAAAGATCTTAAATCCTCCAGCTGAAGATCTGAAGACGCACTGAAACTCCAAAGTTCTTAAGGCTGGAGCATTCACAAAAATTGCAGTGTGCTCATTTAGGAATTTAGAATGTGTGGGTTGGAAGTTTCTGCCTTAGGCCAGTATAGAAATTATGAGTGTCAAGTTTTTTAGAACTAAGACTCTCTTATTTTTACATTTCCTGAAGCAGTAGAGGGCCTTACATGTAATGAACAACTTCGCTTGTTGCTGAGTGGGCAGAAGAGAAAAGACATTGCTATAATGTGAATATTGAAGATTTTATGTTCTGAAAAATAGTTTAAATCTAAAACATTGAGGTGGTCCTATTCTGGTTTTGGTTTTGTTTTTTTTTGAGAAATAGTCTATTCTGAGCTAAATTCTACATTGCTAATATAAATTTGAGAACTATTTGAGCAGTTCTGAATGATCCCATTTAAGTAGATCTTTGCATAATTTATACTGCTACAGACACCACAATGTTATTTGATACCCATCCTCTAAAATTTCAAGTAATCTCTCTCACTCTAAAATGTACTATGCTATCATCATTAGTAGAATCACTCAGTATATTTCCTTTTGTGCAAATAAAATTATGTTCTTGCTTTTTTTTTTAGGTAGTATATAGATGTGTGGACCTGCAATGACCCAGCCATTTTCTTGTCCTTTTTCACAATAATATCAGTGTTCTTCTTGTGTCTAAAATTAGTGATGTCTTAAGAAACCAGAGAGGTTAATCAAAGGGGCCAGAAATTCAAACTAAAAGAGTAGGACCCTCAGCCTCCTAATACTGTATGTCCAATGTATGAGGAACGAGGCCCTAGAGCAGGAGTGTCAAACTCATTTTCACAGGGGCCACATCAGCCTCAAGGTTGCCTTCAAAGGGCCAAGTGTAATTTCAACTCCTTAATGGTTAAGGAGTAGTTATATGTATACAGTCCTAAAATTATTTTCGCCTTTGAAGGCAACCTTGAGGCTGGTGTGGACCCCAGTGAAAATGAGTTTGACACCCCTGCCTAAAGCAGTCTCACAGTGCTTACTTATGTTAATATTCAAGTTTTAACGTGCCACAGGAAGTAATTACTCTGATGCTGAAGTTCTTAATAAGTTATTGAACACACCTACGTATACTTTTTAGTAAAAACCTGCTACTTTAAGTTTGTGGAACAGCCCAGACCTTTTTCTATTGCTTGGAGAATCTCATTCTTCCTGGGTGTTATGTTTAGACAAGGTGTATGGCAATTTATTTTGCATTTACTTGAATTCCAACCTTGAGTAAACTTAGAGCAGTGTTTTTCAGACTAGCACTGCTGACATTTTAGGTTGGATAATTCTCTTGTCGGAAGCTATCCTGTGCATTATAGAATGTTAATCAGCATGCCTGGCCTCTACCCACTGGATGCCCAGGGCACCCTCTCCCCGCAGTGTGACAACCAGAAACCTCTCCAGATGAAGTCATTTTTTCCTGGGGGTGGGAGGAATTGCCTCTGGTAGAGAACCTAGAGCTGCATTGTACTGTATGATAGCCACTAGCACATTTGTCTTAAATATTTAAATATTTAATTAAAACTAAATAAATTAATTCAGTTTCTCAGTCACACTAGTCATATTTCAAGTGCTTAACAGTCATAGTGTGGCTTTTGGCCACAGTGTGGCTATAGGACAGTGCAGATACAGAACATTCCCATCACCACAGAAAGTTCTATTGGACAACACTATAGAGGGAGGCCAATTAATCTGTTGTATATCTAATTCTTTTCTCTAAAAGAGGCAACTTTGACCCTGTTTCTGACCTATCTAATTACAATACAGCCCATTTTATTTCTTATACTCATCATGAGCTAATTTTTCCCCCTTTTGACCTGATTTTGGAAAATTTGTTATCCCCTTACTGTTTATAAGTTTATAAGGAGCAGTAGAAGCATGAATGGAACATTCCTGATCATTACTGATAAGGACTACCAGAATTTCTATTCCTGCTTTTTACTTTAAATGCTCACAAAAAGAACTCCTAATAACTAACCTTGAAATGACTAGTTTCTATGGTATGCCTTTTTAGATTCTACTCTTACATAAAATGGGAGGCTTCTGTGAGGAGATGATAGCTTGTAACCTTTTGTTCATTTCAAGCTGCTTCCTGTATCGCCATAAGGGGAGGGTTTTGCATATAGGCGCATGGTGGCTAAGATGGTAAATGATTACCAAATGCTGGGTGTCAGAGAAAACATGGTGTGTGCAAAGTTCTGATCCTAAAAATGTATGGCCTTGGTGATTCTTGATTTATTTAAGGTAGCAGAGGTAGTCATTAGCAGAGTTGTGAATGGTCCCCAGTCCCATGTGTGTTCCCCCATATATAGGCTTATGAGTTGTAATTATAGATAGGAGTTGCTTGAGCTTAATGCCATCTTTTTTCACCTAAAGAAGCAGAAGCCTGGTTTGATTTATAATTTTTATTGAAAGCCAGCTATGGCCAATATGCAGTTCTGAGTGCTGAGAAAGACACAGGGTGAAGAAGACATGATCTCTGCAGGAGGTTACATTCTGGTAAGGGGTATATACATGATTAGAAAAAATACTTGTATATCAGGGAGGGGTAAGAGGAGTATCACAGAAAATAAGAAACAAATGGGGGTGGGGTACATGGAGTGAGTGACCAGGAAAGATTTTGCAGAAGAAATATTTTAGGTAGAATATTTACTTCAGAATCATGACTTTTCTAGAGGTTTAAGAATTTATTTATTTTTTAGATAGAGGGGAAGGGAAGAAGAAAGGGAGAAACATCAGTGTGTGGATCCCTCTCATGCACCCCCTACTGGGGACCTGCCCGGCAATCCAGGCATGTGCCCTGACTGGGAATTGAACCTGTGACCCTTTGCTTTGCACACTGGCACCCAATCCACTGAGCCACACCAGCCAGGGCTCTAGAGTCTTTTTTTAATGTAGATTTTTTTTCATGTATACTTTATAACATGATTGTGTCTCCTTATTGATGGCAGAATGTAAATTAAGGGAGAGGAAAGCCATTTTATCTTTTGAAGTTAAAATGTGATATAAAAAAAGATACCTTCAATCACTTTGAAAATGTCCAAAAATTCCTTTCACAATTTAATTTATCAAAAATAAAAATAGTCCTGGCATGTCCTGTGTGGCTCAGTTGGGTTTGGTGTCCACCTGCAAATTGAAAGATTGCCAGTGTGATTCCGGATCCCAGGTTCCAGTCAGAGCACATGCCTGGGTTGTGGGGTCTGTCCCTGGTAGCTCCCCCAGGCACATCCAAGAAGCAACCTATCAACATTTCTTGCTCACATCAATGTTTCCCATGCTCTCTTTCTCCCTTCCTTCTCTTCTCTCTGAAAGTAAATACATAAAATCTTTTATTAATTATTTAAAAAACAAAAATGAAAATCTCTTAGGGGGTAAATAAATTTATGTAGCTTAAATTAAATCCATTCTTTCCAAACAATATTTAAGGGCCATACAATTATTCCAAATCTAATTTTTTGTGTATTTAATTTCTCTTATTATTGCAATAGTGTTTAGCTTGGTGGCAAATGTTAACTATTTAACAGCTGTAAGGTGTGGTCTAGTCTGGGACCCTATCCACATTTTATTTTAATAGAAAATACATTCTGAGTTAAAATGACTGAAGGAAGAGCAAACTTTTTAAATATGATTTTCTTTCATATATTCAGAAAAAACAGAAACAGTGAAATAAAGCCTTCACTTTGAAAGTGCAACTCAGTGACATTGAATATTTAGCTACAGTGAGCCTTTCAGGATACTTTTGAGACTGAAATTACTTATTAGACTGAACATTATATTAAGTGGAATCATGAAATTGCTCTTTTTGTGCGTTAAAAACAGGTGAATATTGAGTTTCACACAGTTCAACCGTAAAGGTCTGAAGATTTAAAGATACACAGAGGCTTCAAGAATTGATGGGTTCCTTTCCTCAGAATTCTTTTTACTATATTTAAGATAAGGCTGGCAACATTAATCTTACATAATTCAAATTCAATTTTGGAAATAATGATATTGGTAAGGATAATGGATAGCTTTATGTTTCTGAGTTGGTCCCCAAACAAGTCCTAGGAAATACTCCCTTATAAGAAGCATGTTTCAGTGAAAGACTTATTTTTCCCCAGTACCTATAGCATGCTTCTCTTTAAGCAGTTTTCTTTCCGTTCCAGAATCAGTGTGTGATGCCAGATAAGCTGGTAAACTTTTTGAACTAGAGCTTTCCTGATGTGTGGTATTTTTACATCTGTGTAGTTACTGGGAAGCATTTACTCCTGATATAATGTCTAAGTGAATTGATTCTCCGGAAGTAGTGGTCTCTAGCAATATATATTTTTTGAAACGTATACTTGGATTCCTGGCATTTCGGGCACATATTTTCAGATGAGTGATTCAAATGCCCCTCTTTTTCCTCCACTTACTTACATCTGTGACAGGTTTGATCAACATTACTAACTTTGCTGCCTCCTTACCTGTACTAGAGTTTGTTTGTTTCTTTTACCTCTGTTGTGTATTTTACCCCTTCTTTCTTTCCATGTTCTTTTCTGACTCTTTTTGAGGAATTTGTAAGGTTAAATAATAATACCTTATGCAATATTTACATATCTTTTTCAACTAGGAATATTATTATGCTCAGTAAGCCATTAATTACAGTCTTCTTGTTTCCACAGACACACTCAAGTACAGATCCATGATAGTTAAATACAAGATATTTCTAAGAGTATCCATTTCTTAGAGGACAGAGACAAAATACACAGGGATTAAGTAAATATTTCTGTTGAAATCAGACAAAAATATTTACAAATGCAGAAACTGAGCCTCCAGGAAGGTAAGCCAGGTTTGCAAGGCAATATATCAAATTCCAGAGAATTCTTGTTGTTTTCTCCCATCTTTGACCCACAAGAAGCTGCTGTGTTCCTAGAACAGCTGCTGCTGTGTTCTTATTGCTTTTCAGAGGTGAGTAGTGTTGGGGGTACTAGTGCTAGATAGTAGGCATGGTTTATGTTTTTACCTGGGAGGAAAATAAAGGATGTTTGGAGAGTTGACAGTTGCACAATTATCAGGATCCAGGATTAACCTTATTTAGTAAGTTGTTAGAAACACAGCAATTTGTAGCTTTACTGGATCACTTTGACCAGTTAAAGGTAGTGATTTTGCCCTGGCTGGTGTGACTCCATGAATTGAGTGCTAGCCTGCGAACCAAAAGGTTGCAGGTTCAATTCCCAGTCACTGCACATGCCTGGGTTGTGGGCCAGGTCCCCAGTTAGGGGCATTGGAGAGGCAACCAATCAATGTTTCTATCACACATTGATTTCTCTTTCCCTTCCTCTCTCTAAAAATACATAAATAAAATCTTTAAAAGAAAGAAGGAAAGGTGGTGATTTTTTTATACATCTAATGTATACATTGTAAACTTGCATTTTATAACAGCAAGGTCTTCTGTCTGAGACAAGTAGCTGGTAGTTTCACTTCACACGCTTTAGTTTTTCTTCCGTCAATAGTCTTAGAATCCCACCCACCACCATTATGAACATTCTTCCCCAGAAAAAAGTTTATTGATACAACAGTATCATATACTCCAGTTATTGATGAATGTTGTGATAAATATATTTTAAAATTACATTTTAGACTTCCTCTTTCCTCTTTTCTGGAAGCTGCTTCTCTTTAAAGGTTTAGCTCTATATTTCCCAAATAGCAGTAATTCATATACCATCTTTATAAATATTGTCATATCTGTGTACCACTTGTACTGTTATACACTCAATATTTATTTTAAATTGACTTTATATATCCTTTTAAATTGAGGGATAATATACATTCAATAAAAATACCCACTTTAATTCTGCAGTTTGAGTTTTGGCAGGTGTATACAGTTAATATAACCACCAGCATAGTGAAAATAGGGAACATTTCCCTCTCCCTGAAGTGTTTCCTTGTGCCCCTTTCCAGTGGGTCCAGATTTGCTTTCTCTCGCTATAGTCTAGCCACCCCTCACCCCCTTTTCTTTGTTTTAACTTAGATTTTGCTGAACAGTAATGCCTGTGAATTCAGTTTGAGTTATTATTTTTTCCCTATTCATGTGAAAGCAAATGTGTAATTTTTGTGGTCATACTTTTGTTACTGGTCTACAATCACTTCTTAAATATATTTTTTAAAGATTTTATGTATTTAACCCCTGGCTGGTGTGGCTCAGTGGACTGAGCGCCGGCCTTTGAACTAAAGATTTTATTTATCTTTAGAGAGAGGGGAAGGGGCAGAGAGAGGGAGAGAAACATTAATGTGTGGTTGCCTCTCATGCACCCCACACTGGGGACCCGGCCTGCAACTCAGGCATGTGCCCTGACTGGGAATCGAACCAGTGACCCTTTGGTTCACAGGTCAGCACTCAGTCCACTGAGCCACACCAGCCAGGGCTATAATCACTTTCAAAATTTTCTCAGCTTCCAAGCATGCTTAATCAAGTTCTTATATATATTGTTTGGCATGGTACTGTGGATACAAAATGTGAATAAGAAAGTAGTGGCTGCCCTCCCTTGAAGCTTATGGAAGCATGGCTTTTAGTTTTAAGGAACCAACTAATAAATATACATTTTTCTTAGAGCACTTTTTAACTTAGAACCTAATAATTTCCTGCAACTAGATATCATTTTATATTTTGGATTATCCAGATAACACAACAAGCACATGAGGGTCTATGATATTAGAGACACATCATATTCACATTTAATTCATTCAAATTTAACTATAAATGCCATTTTTCCTCCTTCCTTTCCCCTTCCTCATTTCAATTCCTAAAAGAGAGTAGGAGGAAGAACAATGTAAATGCAAGCCAGTCCACTGAATGAGTGTGTGTGCTGTAGCGAGAGACCCAGGTGGGAGATATGACGCTGTAGTTCCCTCCTGGTTTTCACAGGAAGTGCAGCAGTAGGGCACACAGTGAGGAGGTAATGCAGTACGAAGTGTAATACAGCTTATTGCATACTTACTCCAAGTAAGATGTTACTAAGTACGATAGGCAGTGTGAGGAGAAAAGCAGATAAATATACTTGAAGACTAAGAGCAGAACAAGCAAGTTTCTGTAACTGTTTATAGCCCAGCTCTAATTATGTAGAGATTCAAAGCAATAAAACTGCCTAAAAATTGCTATGGAGATTAAGAAGAAAAAAAGGAAAAGGATTGTGTATGTTTTAATTCTGCAAGAATTTAAATTGTTTTTTGTTTCTATTTATTTATTTATTTATTTATTTTATTTAATTGTTCCATTACAGTTGTCTGTGTTTACTCCCCACCACTCCACCCCACCCCGGCCAAACCCTCCTCCCTCTTTTGCTTCCATCCCCCCCTTGGTTTTGTCCATGTGTCCTTTACAGTTGTTCCTTGTTTTGTTTTTTGATGGAAATAGATGTGCAGTTGGTACTAAAATCCAAAAGGACAGACAGAGGGTGAGGACTGAAAAGACTCCCTGTGACCTCTGCCCATCCCTGCAGTTCTCTGGAGGCAGTCACTATTAGCAGCTTGTGTGAGCTTCCAGAGTTTATAGCAGCACTTGCAAATTTGTGAGTCTTAATTTCCTGTGGCTGCTGTAACAAATTAGCACAAACCAAATGGCTTAGAACAATAGAAATGTATTCTCTCACAGTTCTGGAGGCCAGAATTTGAAATCTGTATCACTGGGCCAAATCCAGGTGCTGACAGGGCTGCTGTGCTCCCTCAGAGGCTGTAGCAGAGAGCTCTTTCCTTTCTTGTTCCAGCTCATGTTGCCTGCCAGCACTCCTTCCTTGGTTTCTGTCCGTCACTCCAATTTTGAAGCAAGCATCTTCGAATCTTCCTCAGCTCCATCTTCACATAATGTGTGTATAAGTGTTTAGTTTCCCTCTGCTTCTCTCTTATGTGGATACATGTTATGCATTAGGGCTCACCTGGATAATTCAGAGTAATCCTGCCATCTCAAGAATCTTAACCTAATCATATCTGCAAAGATTTTTGCCATGTAAGGTTATATACACAAGTTCCAGGGATTAGGGTGTGTGTATCTTTTGGGGACCACTTTTCAGCCTACTACAGCAGTAAAACAAATAGCACACTACATGTTTCTGAACCTTGCTTATAAGAGTGAAAAACTGGAATAACTTAAGGGGCTTTAATTCAGGACTGGTTAAACAATGGTACATCCATAGACTAGAATAAAGCGTTGTCACTAAGAAATATGAACTGAGTATACTGACATGGAGCCACAGTCACTATAAAAAAAAATCAAGTTGCAGAAGCACATATAAGTAAGGTGAAAATTTGGAAAGCTATTACTCAAACTTATAAGTGGCTTCCCCTGGGGAGTGGAACTGTTTGACTTTTTTATTTTATACATTTGTACTGTTGGAATTTCTAAAACAATTATCTGCTTTATAATCCATGGGTTTTGTATTTCTGGATCAATTATGCTATAGAAGTAATAGGGATTATAAAAATTGAACTTTTTAAAAATTTGTTTCCTAGATAGCAGACCCTACATTAGCTGAAATGGGGAAAAACTTGAAGGAGGCTATGAAGATGCTAGAGGACAATCACAGGTGAGCCTGTGGAGCAGAAGCGACCCTATTAAACATGTGCAACCTGTTATGAGACTGGTGGCACTGGTTTTCCTGCTGTTAAAAACACCTCTGGGTTTCAGAATGTCGTGCTTAGTTTCTGCTGGCTTTAAAGATGGTATTTGTCTTGTGTAGAGGATGCTTTGTAATTAAAGGATTTTGAAATTGAAGGGCAGGACTTAATAATTTTCAGTTCTTCCTATTAAGAGTTTCCTTTACTTAATGTATTGATTGGAATCTATAAACATCTTTTACTGTATATTAAGGTCATATAAGGTATCATCTAACTAAGAAATAAGTTGAAGTATTATTTTTTCATGTTCTTTTCCTGAAAAATTAGACTCCAAATTGGGGGCTGGGGTAAGGAGGGTAGGGAGATGGAGAGAAGTAGTAAATGTGTTTTAAATTATACCATCAGTTACTAAGATAGTATAGGTAACATTGTCATATGTTTGCATGCTCAAATGTTAAAAATTTTATAGATAAAATGAACAGGTTTTTTTTTATTTCCTTTAAATAAGAATAACAGAGGAGGAAAATGGAAAGAAGCTCCTTTCAGGGGATATTCCAGGGCCACTCCAAGACAGGTAAGTGGAAATGAATATGCATACCTTTAGTTAGGGTATACGTTTTCTTTAAACCAAGATTTTACTATCATTGATTTACAATTTTAGTTTTCATAAGCAAAAAGCAAGTTCAAAGTTATAAGCAATGTAACGGTAGAAACTGAAATGCTATTGGCTGGTTGGTGATGATGCTAAGCATGCCTGCTTTTCCCCCTTTCCCATTCAGCATTAAATACAACATCATGAATCAGAAACAATCACAGATTTATAATTATAATTCAACTCTCATACCTAGTTTAAAATATAGCAAAATGAAAATAAAATGTCGGTTTTAACCATTTATTTGTCAAACTGACTTATTTTTTAGCAATCAAAGCAAATTTGTCAAGTGTTTATGGTTTGAGCTAGCAGGGAAAATATTAGAAAAATAATTAGCTACCTGACTAAAATTTTCACAGGATGTTAGCGCTCAATTTGTAATTAAAATTTCAGCCTTTCCTCATACAAGGGCTTATTTTTTTTGTTTTATAACCAGGAAACTGCACATAAGTAAACATTACAACTCCCTTAAATTGCCCTTTGACCTGAATATAAATATGTACAAAGTTGCAGGAGAACAGCGTGTCAATAAATATCACATCTAACACACCCAGATAACCACTATTTTAGAATAGGCACTCCTGCTTGTAATTTGAGTGGTGTTGGTTTAAAGCCCTCCAGATGTGCAGTGTGTTCTACAGGTCAGAACAGAAACCAAGTTCTATTAATTTCCTCAGAGAAGTAAATTTCCTGAAGGGAATTAAGGAGTTCTACTTATCCCTCAGAAGTTTTCCTAGAAAAGATACGACCAACACCATCTGTAATTCTTAGAATGGGAGGGTATTAATGCTACTGGTCAGGCATATTCACACTTAATAGTGCTCATAGGCAGCATCTGAGATAGCACTATGCCAGGCGTAGCATTCAGTGCTGTACATGCACTGATTGCATCCTCATAATTCCTTAATGTATGGGCTTAGGGAGTTTCAATAACTTGCTCAAGGTCATATGGCTAGGCACACAGCCTAATCTCTACACAGCGTCCAAGGACCAGAGCCCCGCTGGTGTGAAGGCCAGCACCTTGGGAGGATGGGTATGGGACAAGCAGTGCTTCTTTTTCAAAAGATAAAACTTTTTATTAGTCATATTCTCTTTAATGGAGCGATAATATTTTCACATTACATGTATTCATTTTGACATTGCTTATTCCTTTAGCCATTCACATTCTTCCTAGAAGTTTTCACCACCTCATGTGATGAGCACTTAGTAACATATCTTGGATAGAAGTAAATCTGTTTATACTCTAAGCAGATCTCCAGTTTCCTAGCTTGGGAAAGAGGTGGTGATAAATGATACTTTCATTCCATGTTTAAGTCTGTTAGAACAAACAGACAAGACACCTACATGGAGGGAAACTGAATATACCAGTGGCATTGGAGTATTCTTGCTGCTTCTATGACCTTTAGAATCTCATAAGGACTGTTTTGGCTTTCATGACATGCTTATTCTTCAAGATTCCAATGAAGAGGTAGAGAAATACTACTTAAGTAATATTGGTGAAATTAAAAAATTTCAGTCTCGGATTAAGTAGAAAATTTAATTAATTACAAATACAATTATAATCAAAATTCCACTAAATAACTTGAGGTTTGTTTTTAAAAGACATATACTGTATCTCAAACATGTTCTTACTCAGTTAAAAAAACTTACCAAAAAAAACTTATCAAAGCCAGTTTGGATGAGAGAAATAGAGAGTGGTTGGGGATATGTGCCATTTCTACCTATCCATCAAATCTTTTTTTTTTCCTGCAGTGGACAAGATATGGTGAGCATTCTTCAGTTAGTTCAGAATCTGATGCATGGAGATGAAGACGAGGAGCCCCAGGATGCCCGGTAATAGAGAACGGTTGGCAGCTTCTCTTTGACAGTATTGTGTGTTACTGATTTTGAAAGTGACTGCATTCTTACAAGTTGCTGAAATAATTAGCTATGTTTCATTCAGAGTTGCATATGATATTAGGAGGATGTTTATTCTTTTCAGAAAGACATTTATATATTTCAGGTAATATATTTTGTAAAAGGAAGGCATTTACTAAAACTAAATCCTGTAAAATTTATGGTATCATATCTTTGGGAGGAACTGGCAAAAGTACCAAAGAGTGGATGCTGTGCGTTTTTTGCTTTTGATTGCTTCCGCTCCTGTGCTTGTGCTTTTGCTTCTGATTGCTAAGAATTGCTGCACTTGAATTGATTGGCCACGTCATCTGTAAATCATCCATTTGTTTTATTTTTCTTTTCATCTATTTAGCTATTTACTCAGTTTCATTTTCTCTTTAACTACTTTAAATTTAAATTTTTTGAATAAGTCATGCATTCTCCCAGTTCAAATTTCAATGATAAAAAGAGTACACAAAGACAGTTTTTCTTCTTACCTCTGCCTCTCTTATTTTGTTCTCCTCCTTAGAGAAGGACAATGTTGTGTATTAGAAATATTTTATGTATATGTATACACAAACAAAATATCTTTTTTTTTATTTTTTTAAAGATTTATTTATTTATTTTTAGGGAGGGGAGGGAGGGAGAAAGAGAGAGAGAGAGAAACATGAATGTGCGGTTGCTGGGGTCCGTGGCCTGCAACCCTGGCATGTGCCCTGGCTGGGAATCGAACCTGCGATGCTTTGGTTTGCAGCCCACGCTCAATCCACTGAGCTATGCCAGCCAGGGCACAAACAAAATATCTTTACTAGGCCCCTCCAGTACGTAAATACATGCACATTGTTCTGTACCTTGCTTTTTTAATTTGTGTCTTGCAGTTCTTTGCATATCAGTACACAAGCAGTTTTCTCCTTTAAGAACTGTTTGGTTTTACTTTGAGTAGATGAACCACATTTTATTTGACTAGTCTCCTTGTTGTGTTTTACTGTTACAGACATCACTGCAGCCAATGTCTTTATACATGTATAATTTCTCAGAGAAGCAAATGTTTCTGGATATTAAAGTTCTAAAGTGGGATTACTGGGCCAGATAGTTTGTGTATTTCTAATTTTGATAGATATTGCCAAACTTCCCTCCATGGAACCTGTGCCAGTTCACAGTCCCACCAGCACAGTATGAGAGCACCTCTTTCCCCACACCTTTGCCTGCAAGAGTGTTAGCAGACTTAAGGGTTGTTGCTAGTCCAATAAGTGAGAAATTATATTTCAGCATAATTTTAATTTGCATATTTCTTGTGAACCAGGTTAAGTGTCTTTTTGCATGTTTTAAAACCCATTTATAGTTCCTTTTCTATGAACTATCTCCTTTGCCCAGTATCCTGTTTGATTTTAAGGGAAATTGGTCCATTCATTTTAATGATATATAAATACCTAGTTCCCTTTAAATTTGCTATATTTTTGTTATAAATAGCTATTTAATGTAACAAAGAATTGATCTTCATCTAATGATTCTTTAAAAAATTGTTTTCTGCACATTTTAGCTCTCCTTTCCATAGTTCATATGGATGGTATTTAATTTTAAAAAAATTTTAGGAAAAAATTACTCACAAAGTTTGTATTTTTATTACATATTTAATAAGTAGAAGGATATTTATCTCCTAGGAATTAATTTTTAAAGTGTTTTTCTTCTCCAGACTGTCAATACTTTGTAGGTATTGAATTTTCCAAATTTAATCTGAATTTGTGCCTTTTAGGCCATTAAGTGGATTTTTCAATCTGACAGAAATTTCTGTGGAATAATGTCTCTAAAAGTTTTACTTCTTTATTTGTGTTTTTACTAATATATATTTTTAATCTAATGAATTTTGATTAACAGAATCCAGAGTATTGGAGAACAAGGTCATATAGCTTTGTTGGGACATAGTCTGGGAGCTTATATTTCAACTCTGGACAAAGAGAAACTAAGAAAGCTTACAACTAGGATCCTTTCAGACACTACCTTATGGCTCTGCAGAATTTTCAGGTAAAGAAATTACCTGATAAAAATATTTATGAATTGAATATAGACTGTGACACATCTTTTCTGGCGCTATACTATCTGGGTTCAGAGTTGCCTCTTCCCCTTCCTCTTGTAAGGGTTACTTAACCTCTCCATGCCTCAGTTTCCTCATCTATTAAATGAGGATAGCATTAATATCTATTTCATGGCATTGTTCTGGGGAAGAAATGAGCTAATGAATTCATACATGTAAAGAGCTGAGCCCTGGCTAGTGTGGCTCAGTGGATTGAGCACTGTCCTTTGAACCAAAGGATCGCCAGTTGGATTCCTAGTCAGGGCGCATGTGTGGGTTGTTGGCCAGGTCCCCAGTAAGGGGTGCTCGAGAGGCAACCACACATTGATGCTTCCCTTTCTTCCTTCCTTCCCATCTCTAAAAATAAATAAATAAAACCTTTAAAAAAATAAAAGGTGAGAACATGTAAGCACATGCATGTTGGATAATGTCAGCAGTTCCTTACTATTAGAATTCCTGATTGGCACATGTCAATAGAAGGTACAGCAGTGAAACAGATTAAATTATTTTTAATCAAAGTTGTAGCTTATGCTTTATTAGAAAGGAAATGTGATAAGGAATATGAGTAGGTGTTGTAAAATTGAAATTTGCTTTATATTGTGATAATGATGGCATTATTAAGGAATTACAGCAGATTGAGGATTCAGTAGAAGGCATAGGACCAGTAGTATTCTTATGTTAATACTTTTATGGAAAAGGAATGATTGCCTAACACTGGAACATTTAACTTGGAAGTCTTACTTTCAGATGTCAGGAAAGAGATTGGCCTGGTAAGAGTATAAGTTTGCCTAACTATATTGCAAAGGGGGAATTTTTTTTGTTTTAAATATTTTATTTATTTATTTATTTTTAGAGAGAGGGGAAGTGAGGGAGAGAAACACCAATGTGCGAGAAAAGATTGGTTGCCTCTCACAGGCCCCCAACTGTGGGACCTGGCCCACAACCCAGACATGTGCCCTGATTGGGAACCAAACCAGTGACCCTTTGGTTTGCAGGCCGGCACTCAATCCACTGAGCTACACCAGCCAGGACAAGAAATTTTTTTCTAATAAAATTCTAATACCTGTAATTGAATTTCTCTCTCCCTCCCTCCTCTAGGAGATTAAGAAGAAAAGTCCCCAGCAAATAGTAGTGAAAGCAAAAGTTAGCCTGATTAGTGTTTTTGACAATTTTATTTACTTTGCATGTTTTAGAGTTAAAACTCTGCGAAGAACCATGCCCGCATTATCCAGTGCTAGCCTTCTTGTTGAATAAGCCAAAACCATGATATCCAGCCTTTTTATACCTGAGGGACTCCTGTTCTTTAGTGATTTTAATATTTTCTGCCTTGTATGGAGTTGGGTATGGACAAAAGGTCATTGCCTCTGTTCCTTTTAACCTTCAGCTGTAAGGAGTTGTCAGCCATCTAAGATGAGGGTGATTCCTATCTCCTTTGACTGATCTAGGTGACAGTTTCTAGGCTGAGAAAAGAATTACTTCCATGATTACAAAATTAGAATGTAAAACCAGAGTGAAACAGAAATAATAACATATTAATCAATATATGGGTGTCTCTTAACAGGTATGAAAATGGCTGTGCTTATTTCCATGAAGAAGAAAGAGAAGGACTTGCAAAGATCTGTAGGCTTGCCATTCATTCTCATTATGAAGACTTTGTAGTAGATGGATTCAATGTGTTATATAACAAGAAACCTGTTATATATCTTAGTGCTGCTGCCAGACCCGGCCTGGGCCAGTACCTTTGTAATCAGGTAATGTGGTGGAGGTGGCCATTTTAAAGATTAGATGTTTTGTTCTGTCCTGGAACTCCTTAAAGTGTGTAGACCCATTTCTTTAGCTGCTGTTCTTTTCAAGTGAAAAGAAGGATGGTTTTTTTTACTATGCTTGTTTTTTCATTATAAGAAAACATATAAATGCATACTAATGAATTTATATATACCTTTTTTTCAATTGCCCAAAGGCAACCACAGTTGATATTTTACTTTATTTCTTTCCAGACTTTAATCAAAGGCTATATATGTGTTTTTTATATAATTATATCTGGCTTTTTTCACTTAGTTATAACAAGTATATATCATATTTTAACAATTCTTCAAAATAAAGTTTATTTTTAATGTCTTCATAATATCCCTTCAAGTAAGTATATAGTGTTTTAACTATTTCCCTTTTGGACAATTAGAGTGTTTACATTCTTTTGCTTTCTGTGACAAGTGTTAATACTCTTTGTTTAGTACTGTTATGGGTATCTTTGTGTGTAAAGCTTTTTCTATATTTAGAGTTATATTTCTCAGATTTTCAGAGTCAATATAGAATTACTGTATCAAAGAGCATTATTATTTCTAATGTTTATAGTGAATTTAGCTCAATTAGGGGGCTATCTTGAGATAAGAAATTATCGTATTTTGCCATGTATGATGCAGTCCCGTGTATAATGTACACCCACAGTTTAGTACTGTCCATGAATAATGCGCATCCTTATTTTTCCCTCAGAAATTTGGGCAAAAAAGTGTGCGTTATACACAGCAAAATACAATAAGTCTCTTGGCCAAGAATATTTTAAGGCAATACCCTTAGGATTGGAGAGTTTGTCTTTCTTAAGGTGGAAGAGCCCTGGGGAGATAGGTGGAGGGAATTCAGGGGCTTAAGTTGATTCGGAGCCATGGCCACTAGTGTCAAGAAATTATGTCCTCTTCTTGAGGGTGTAAAAAATGGGGAACTTAGTAATATCCCAGTAGAAACATGAAACAGTTTACTTTTTGAGTACCCACTATAGACCAGACTCTAGTGGACCTGGGGCTGTTTTGGGACAGCAGTCCTGTCTTCAAAAGATGTGTGACAGTGTTCTGTTAAATGAGAAAGGCAGGTGGCAGAAGAGTATATATATGCTCAAAAGTGTTTACATACTTATATGAGTATTTTTATACCTGGAAAAATATATATGAATATATTTATACCTAAAAAATGTCTGGAAGGTCACATTCTAATATGTTAACACTGATGGATTGATGACTTATGTAGGGGCGTTTTCACGTGTGTGTGTGTGTGTGATTTTATTTATTTAGTTTTAGAGGTCGGGGGAGGGAGAAAGAAAGGGAGAGAATCATCGATGTGAAAGAGAAACATCAATTGGTTGCCTCTTGTACATGCCCCACTCTGGGACTGAACCCACTACTCAGGCATGTGCCCTGACTGGAAATTGAACTGGCGATCTTTCACTTTGAGGGGTGACCCCTAACCAATTGAGCCACTCTGGTCAGGGTATCTATATATATTTTTTTTATTGTGTGCATTATTTGGGTTTCACTTTCATAATTTAAAAGATAAATCCTTTAAGGGGAGAAGAGCGTGAATAAAGTGCCTGTTAAATTTTCAATCTTTAAATTTTACCAAGTCTTAGTTATACAGAACAATAGGCTACAACTATTTAAAAAATTCTAAAACTATAAACTCCACAAGGATTTGTAAGCTAAAAGTAAAGAATATAAAATGTGAAAATTACTATCATAACACAGATTTCATTTCTTTTAAGAAGTGTACATCTGCTAGTTTATATTTATTGATTTTTTAGGAGTAGGTGGATCCATAAATAAGGTATTCTTTGAATGCCTCTAGCTGGTCTTACTTATGTTTGGAGGAAGGACCCTAAATTATCCTCCAAAATGCTCAGGGTTCAGTTGTTTCCAGTTTGGAAAAGTGGTTTGTTCTTTGGTATATAAAATATGCCAAAGATAGTTACTCATTTAGTTGACTCATTTAGAAAATTTTACAGTGTCTCTGCCGTCTTGTAAGACATCTCAGCTCCTGAAAATTCACCCTTCTCTTGGCTTAACTTTCTAGATGTGCTTTAACATCTATTTATAATATTAAGAGTTCCTAAGGAAACAGATTGTTTAAAAAATAATTGTGACTTGTCTCAGAGCCACATTTTTTGAGGGCATAAGTGAATGGTGACAAAGAGCTTTCTTGTAAAATTGTATGTTTCTTCTTACAGCTTGGCTTGCCCTTCCCCTGTTTGTCTCGTGTGCCTTGTAACACTATGTTTGGATCCCAGCATCAGATGGTAAGTTCTCCTTTTGGTTTGTAAAATTATACGGAATTGTGTTTTGAAACTGTCTTCCTTTTAACTGAAGTTGTGTTTGTTGGCCTCCAGATAATTATTAGCCTATTCATTTATTGCTTTGATCTTCCCATTGCACACTAAAGCCAGACGCAGAAGGGATAGGCTTTGGGGTTCTGTATTTCTTTTTAATGTTTTTTTTATTTGTTTTATTTATTGATTTGAGAGAGAAAGAGAGAGAGAAACATCTGTTTGTTGTTCCATGTATCCATACACTCATTGGTTGCTTCCTGCATGCACCCCAACCAGAAATTTAACCCACAGACTAGGTGCATCTGGACAAACTCCAACCAACCAAGCTACCTGGCCAGGGCTGCATTTCTTTTTTCAAGATAGTTTGATTTTTTCTGTGCATTAATGTAGTTGCATTGATGAGTAGTATTAGAGATACATTTTTGGCTGGTTTGGGGGATTGAGAGAACATTTTCTTTCTTTTTTTTAAGATTTTACTTATTTATTTTTAGAGAGAGAAGGGAGGGAGATAGAGAGAGAGAAAAAAACATCAATGTGCGGTTGCTGGGGGTCATGGCCTGAAACCCAGGCATGTACCCTGACTAGGAATCGAACCTGCGACACTTTGGTTCACAGCCCGCGCTCAATCCACTGAGCTACACCAGCCAAGGCTGAGAAAATATTTTCTTTAAACATAAATGTTTAAAACTAGAGAATGTTGGCTTTATATATGCAGTTTTAACTTTAATCATACTTAAAATCAAGAAAAACTATTTGATTTTTATATTTATGATTAGAGAAACTAAAAAAGTTTTAAAGAATTGATTTTGAGAGTCACGTGTACTTCTTTTGGAAGTTGTAATTTTTCATTGTATAACTTTTATTCTGGTTGCCTCATGTTTTGTCTTTTAATCCCAGGATGTTGCCCTCCTAGAAAAACTGATTAAAGATGATATAGAACGAGGAAAACTACCCCTATTACTGGTTGCAAATGCTGGTGGGTATCATGAATCTGAATCTTAAATTTTGAACATGTATGAGACAGGTTAAGTACTTAGCCCAAAACAGACCAAGTCTTAAGAAATATTTGTGTGCCACATGTTTAGGATAGCCCTGTATGAGTACTGTGGTAAGAATTAAAATAGTAAAGTTGGCTCATTTGATTCCCTTTAATTGTTGGTTTGTTTTAGGAGTTATATTGTTTGTGTGTGAATACATTTTCATTTAGGTTGTTCCTCTCCTTCATGTGCTTTCTCTCTAAGTTGAATTTTAAAATGTTATACTTGAGTGTGCACCTTGTAACAGCCTGTCAATCCTATTTTCTGCTCTGCTTACCATAGTGTGTTTAACACTGTATTTAAAGTTCTAGATGATGCAATAAGCAAGAAAAATAATATACAGATTGAAAGGAAGGATAAACTGTCTTTATTTGCAAATGGCATGATTGTACAGATAGAAAGTCCTAAATAAGTAAACCAAAGAAAAGTCATTGGAACTAATAAACAAATTTATTAAGGTTACAGGATTTCTGTATACTAGTGATGAACAACTGAAATTGAATTTAAAATGTTCTTCATAATGGCATCAAAAAATGAAAACTTGATGGCTAAGTTTAAGAAATGTATGAAAGATTTGTACACTGAAAGCTACAAAATGTTGCTAAGAGAAATTTAAAAAGACCCAAATAAATAGAACAATAAGCCATGTGCATGATCAGAAGACTTAAGTCTTAAGTCAAATCTCCCCAAATTGATGTATAGATTCACCTCAACCCATATCAAAGTCTCAGCAAATTTTGTAGAAATTGCTAAATCTTATTGAAATTGATAAGGTGATTCTAAAATTTACATGAAAATATAAAGGATCTATGAATAGCCAAAATAATTTTGAATAGAACAAAATTGGAAGACTTACCCTATGTGACTTTTAGACTTACTATAAAGATACAAGTAATCAAGAGAGTATGAGATTAATTGAAGAGAATAGAGTTCAGAAATAGACTCATATATATATGATAACTTGATTTTTTTTTTACAAAGATGCCAAGATAATTCAAGGGAGAAAGGATAGTCTTTTCCACCAGTGGTCTTGGAATAATTGGATGTGCATGTGGAAAAAAATTGAACCTTAACCCTTAGCTTACTCTGATTATAAATGGTTCATAGACCTAAGCAAATGAGACATAACACTAAAACTTGAAAAAATGTAGATCTTTGTGATCTTGGGGTAGGCAAAGATTTCTTAGGACACAAAATGAATGAACCATAAGTTGGACTTCATCACAAATTAAAAGCTTTTGCTATTCAAAAGACCCTGTTAAGAAAATTGAAAAGGCTAGTTACAGGCTGGGAGAAAGTATTTGCAAAACATTTTTCTGACAAAGGACTTGATCAAAATACATAAAGAATTTTTCCATTGAATATTAAGGAGACAAACAATACAGGTTTTTTTAATGCACAAGAGATTTGAATAGGCACTTCACCAAAGAAAATACTGATATATGAATGTTTAAGCACTTAAAAAGATGCTAATATCAGTCATTAGAGAAATGGAAGTTAAAACCACAGTGAGCTACTATTAAGTATCTGCTAGAATGGAGAAAATAAAAAAATTCAATGCCAAATGCTGGTGAGAATACAGAGCAACTGGGACTCTCATACACTGCTGGTAGGAAGCAAATAATGTTGCAGCTACTCTGAAAAATAGTTTGGCTGTTCCTAAAAAGGTTAAACATAAAATTGGATATGATCCATTAGTCCCACTTGCAGGTGTTTATCAAAGAGAAAAGAACACACATGTCCACACAGAGAATTGTATGCAATACTCAGCCTGAAACACCCCAGATGTTCTTTACCTTGTGAATGGATAAACAAGTTGTGGCATATCCATGTCATGGGCTGCTAACTAATAAGTAGAAATAGTTACAGATATACTTATCCACAGGGATGAATTTCAGAAGCATGCTAACTGCAAAAACCCAGACTAAGAAGAAGTTACATAGTATGTGATTATATGAAATTGTAAAAAAGACACAAGTACAGTGACAGAAAACAATCAGGATTGTCCAGAGCCAGTGGGGAGCAGAGGAAAGAATGAAACTTTGGGGTGGGGAGGATCCTCTGGGGTGATGGAAATATTCTCTACCTTGACTATGTTGGTGGTTACACACTGGTTACCTTTGACAAAACTCAGTGAACCGTACACTTAAATGAGTGGATTTTATTGCCTGTAAATTATACTTGAGTCAGTGAAGCTAATTACAGTTGCTCCTTGGCTCTGGGGAATTGGTTCCAGAACCCTTCCCCCTGCCTTGGATACCAAAATCCACTGATGCTCAAGTCTCCATATATAGTGTAATATTTGCATATATCCTATATTTACATATGGGCTACAGCAGGATGTGTCTCCACATCAATTTGTATGTATTCAGCTTGGTGCTTAGTGCATAGCAGATTCAAATTTTGCTTTTTGGAACTTTCTGGGATTTTTTTTCTGAATATTTCTAATTCAAGTTGGTCGGATCCAGAGGTGTGGATACAGAGGGCCAACTGTATTTTTAAAATAATAATAAACAAAAAACACATACCCATCTTATTATTAGCAGGAAAACCACCACTTCCTGCCTGATTTAGCATACTATATGTTTAAAAAGAAACAAACCCACCCATATTCAATCATTCGATAGATAGGAGAGGCTATAATTTATATGTGACTGAGTGACTTACCAGTATGGCTTACTCTGCCTTGAGTACACATCGCAGGGGTTAAACAGCAGACATTGCCAACAAAAACTTGAAAAGAGAATCTGAATGTGGCCAAATCACTGAAACACAGCACTGTGCTTTGGTTTTGATGAGCCATATGACACAGTTCGTGCATTGGCCTTTGATCTTGTTTCAGCTAAAACCAGTGTGTCAATTGAGATTTTCTTAAAAAACACTTTATTTACTTATATTTAGACAGAGGGAAAGGGTGGGAGAAAGAGAGGAAGGGAAATATCAATGTGCAATTGCCTCTCACGCACCCTCTACTGGGGACCTGGCCCACAACCCAGGCATGTGCCCTGACTGGAAATTGAACCATCGACCCTTTGGTTCACAGGCTGGCACCCAATCCACTGAGCCACACCAGCTAGGGCTCAGTTAAGATTTTTTTAAAATTGAGACAAACTTGCAAGTTGGGGAAGTTTTCAGCTCTTTTCCTACCATAAATCCTGCTAAAGAATCACTTGCATCAGTTTTGTTTGTTGAGGCATTTAGTAAGGGTTTAAAATCTTAGTAGGTGGAATTCTGCTAAATGGAAATTTAGGATAGTTGGGATAATACATGACTCCATATTTTATTTATGCTTTGAGAAGAGGGATCTGCCCAGCAAAAGCTGTAATGTAAACAAATTACCAAGGAGATGGATTAAAGTGTTTAATATGTTCATAATGACTTCAGAATACATACTCTATATTAAAACAAAGAACCTCCAAATTTAGTTAAAAACATCTTAAGTTCATCTATGTACTTTTTTTTTATCCTCGCCCAAAGACATTTTTTCATTGCTTTTAGAGGCGGGAAGGGAGAGAGAGGGGTAGAAACATCGATTGGTTGCCTTCTTTACATGTCCCAACCAGGGATTGAACCTGAAACCTGGGTATGTGCCCTGACCAGGAATCTAACCCGCTACCTTTCCATGGGATGACACTTCAACCAACTGAGCCACACTGGCCAGGGCCATGTTTCTCGTTCTTAACAAAAGGACACCTATGGCCCAGGCTAGTATAGCTCAGTGGATTGACTGGGCCTGCCAACCAAAGGATTGCTGGTTTGACTCCTCCCAGTCAGGACACAGGTCTGGGTTGCAGGTCAAGTTCCCAGTAGGGGGTGTGTGGGAGGTAACCACACACTGATGTTTCTCTCCCTTTCTTTCTCTTTCCCTTTCCCTCTCTCTAAAAATAGATAAATAAATAAAAATCTTTTTTAAAAAAGGACACCTATAAATAAAAATAACCCAAAAGTGACAAAAAGTTAGAGTAGGAAAAGCTATCTTGGACAAGTGCTAACAACAAAAGTACATAAGCACTTAGTGTGAGATAAAATAGGCTTCATATTAATTATAATTTGTATAATCTAAGAGATAACATTTATAAATGTTTATAGTCATCAATTTGGGAGACTTGAATGTATTTCTCATGAAGCAACAATTCAAATAGAAAATAGTATATAGAGGATTTAAATAACACAATTTATAAGCTTTTTAAAACCCTTTTTTTAAAGTCTTTTATTTGTTTGTTTATTTATTTTAGAGGGGAAGAAAGGGAGAAAGAAAGGGAGAGAAACATCAGTGTGTGGTTGCCTCTCACGCATCCCCTGCTGGGATCTGGCCCACAACCCAGGCATCTGCCCTGAGTGGGAATCAAACCAGCGACCCCGTGCTTCTCAGATCGGCACTGAGTCCACTGAGCCACACCAGCTAGGGCTCTTTATTTATTTTTAGAGAGAGGGGAAGGGAGGAAGAAAGAGAGAGAGAGAAACGTCAATGGGAGAAAAACATTGATCAGTTGCCTCTCACATGTGTCCTAACCCGGGACTGAACCTGCAGCCCAGGCGTGTGCCCTGAGTGGGGATCAAACCAGTGACCCTTCACTTTGTGGGATGACACCCAGCCAGCTGAGCCACTCTGGCCAGGGCTACAAGCTTTTTTGTAGATATGTGTAATGGAGAATACACACTCTTGAAAACTTGAATCATCAATTTGCAAAAGTTGACTTTAAGCCAGTCCACAAAGTAAATCTTAATAAAACAGATACAATATTACATCCATCACAGAGAGATAACATATATTAAAACTCTTTAATCATTCTTTAAAGACTCAAAAATATTTGTTCCTTTTTGTATCTTTTGTGTGTGTGTGTGTGTTTTATCCTAGGAACCGCAGCAGTAGGGCACACAGATAAGATTGGTCGTTTGAAAGAACTCTGCGAGCAGTATGGCATATGGCTTCATGTGGAGGGGTGAGTGGAGGGTGCATTTGGCTCCATGGGTGGCCTGCACATAGTGCTCCCAAGGAGTGGACATCCAGGTTCTCACTCTGTTATGACATTTGTCCCTAAGGGCTCTTTTGAGTTGTAGATAACAAGACAACTCAAATTGGCTTAAGTGAGAAGAGATTTTATTGGTTCACATAACAAAAAAACAAAACAAAACAGTGTTAGGATTGGCTTTAGGCACAACGTCAGTCAGGACTCAGTGTGTCACCCCTACTCCCTAAGCCACTTGCTATAGCTCCTCTGTGCTGGCTCTGTCTATAGATAGACGTTCCTGTTATGGTCCAAAGTAGCTGCAGAAACTCCAGCCTTCTTTGCAGGTTTGTGTCCAGTGGGTCAGAAGTCCCTGCAAAAGTCTCATACCAATTACTGCGGCCAAGAAAATGTAGTTTAAGTTATTTACCCACCTCTGGGGCAGGTGGTGGTGTTTCCTCCACCAAAACCAAGGTCTGATAGAGGAGATTGGGGTGGCTTCCCAGAAGGCCATTTGAGTGCTGCTAAGAGAAGAGAGGGAGAGGATGCAGGGCAGCCATAGTTGTCCATCCATATCCAGCACGTCATGCAAGGGAGATTTCATTCTATTTTATCCCTCTAGGGAAAAATGGTGACTGGAAAATAATAGTTGTGAAGGGTATAAGGCCCATTACACTAAGTAGGAGACATCCCCTGAAATACATTTTCAAGGATTTCCTGCAGTGTGTGTGTACTGCATTTTCTGTTGCTGTTATAAAAGCTAATGACGCAGCTGAAAGACAGCAGAGCCTTTCTTTCTTTCTTTCTTTCTTTCTTTCTTTCTTTCTTTCTTTCTTTCTTTCTTTCTTTCTTTCTTTCTTTCTCTTTCTTTCTTTCTTTTTTTCTTTCTTTCTTTCTTTTTTGAAAATGCATACTTAGTGAATGAGCAGCAGTACATTAATAATTCTTAGATTGGTGTTTTTTCTTCCAGTGTGAATCTGGCAACGTTGGCTCTAGGTTATGTCTCCTCTTCAGTGCTGGTATGTTGATTTACTAAATATCATATTTTTAAGAAGGAATTTCAAATGCTTTAATCCCTGATGGCTTTTCATGGTTTTTATGAATGGAGGAGGGTATTGGGTTTTGTGTATTCTAATAGTCTAACAAAAAGCTGTTTTCTCTTTGGTAGGCCGCAACCAAATGTGATAGCATGACACTGACTCCAGGCCCGTGGCTGGGTTTGCCAGCTGTTCCTGCAGTCACCCTTTATAAACACGACGATCCCGCCTTGGTAAGCCTGTTCTCACTGGCAGGGAGTGGGGAGTGGCTTGTAATCATTACTGGGCCTGGGGCAAAATACAGAAAAACAAAGGAAAAAGTGAAAAATTTCCTTAATGTCACTTCTATGACTTTTTATTTTTCAAAAACTTTTTAACAGAAGTGAAATTGTGCCACATGTGCTTTTTCTATTTATTTTTCCCATACTTCCCTGTGTATATGAAGAACATTTTATTATATTTTATGATTGCATAATCTGTCACTTTAATACCACAATTTAATCATTCTCCATTTATGAACTTTTAGGATGTTTTCAAATTTTTGTTTCTGAAATAATGAGCATATTTCTGTGTTTCAAATTATTTCCTTAGACTAGGTTCCCATAAGTGGCATTCCTGTCAGAGTAGTTAAAGCACACTGTTTAGAAGGTTGTAACAAAGTATAGTGATGGTTTTTGACAATGGACCACTTAGTGGCTCATGCAAAATAAGCTTTAAGTGATTCTTGCTGTAACAGTTGATTTCTTGCTCAATTGATAATGACTGGGTATTCGAGGATGATCGGAACAGCCTTGGAAGGGGCTGTTTCTTGAGTGGCTAAGAGCTGTGGCTCTGAGATGTGACCCATCTATATTCTCACCCTGGTTTTGCCACATCTCAGACATGAAACCTTGAGCAAAGCAGAGTCCCTGAGCTAAGTTGCCTAGAATACTTGCTTCATGGAGTTGCTAGATGATAAAATGAATAATGCGCCCTGGCTGGTGTAGCTCAGTGGATTGAGCACGGGCTGTGAACCAAAGTGTCGCAGGTTCGATTCCTAGTCAGGGTACATGCCTGGGTTGCAGGCCATGACCCCCAGCAACCGCACATTGATGTTTCTCACTCTCTTTCTCCCTCCATTCCCTCTCTAAAAATAAATAAATAAAATCTTTAAACAAATAAATAAATAAATAAATAAATAAAATTAATAATGCAAGCCAAGTGCCTGCCTATCATAGCATCTGACAAATACCAAGTGCCTGGTAAATGGTAACTAGATAATTCTAGTATGTGATTCCACTAGCTTTGGTTAATAAACTCATATTGGCTTCTTTTAGACTTTAGTTGCTGGTCTTACATCAAATAAGCCAGCGGACAAACTCCGTGCCCTGCCACTGTGGTTGTCTTTACAATACTTGGGACTTGATGGGACTGTGGACAGGATTAAGCATGCCTGCCAACTGGTGAGTAGAAATCTAAAGTTTAAATGAGTCATAAATTCTCTTTGGCAAAAGGAGTCAGAAAAATACTGCATTGATTTAGCCTCCATCCAGTACCTCGTTGTCTAAATTTTCTGTTTCATGAGCAAGCATATTAATAACATGTATACATTTCTTGTTCAAAGTTCTGGGAGAGACTGCTGGGGTTGTCCCAGCATTTGTATCCAAATGGGATCAGATTAAAATGAATGCTGTTGTCATATCAGATGAGAAAAGAAGTCACAAGATGACAGCCGAGGGGTGGCAAAGGATGCAAAAGGGGCCGTGAATGTCCCCACTTGACTGACTCTTGAGGATGAAGGGATGTGAGGGCCAGGGGTTGACATGGATGGCATGTGTGCTTTTAACATCAGCTGGCTTGAGTTGCCTAATTGCAAGTCTTTGGGAGACCATTTTAATTCTGTTTCTCTTTGAAGTATTCTAATTTTGAAAATTATATAATTATGCTATAGTTTAGAAAGCAAATATGTCGTATTTATGCAGCTGGAGAACTGAGTCCTATCTAGTCTGAAAGCATGATGTCACCTCCATACTTCCATTTTCCTACCTGTAAATAGGAATAATGACATAACAAAAGGTCATTATGAGGACTTAATGAGTTGATGCATGTAAAGCTCGTACAGTAGTGCCTAATGACACAGTAAGTTATGCAAATAGGTCTAAAAGTAAATCTTCATTTTAAGTGTATACTTGGAGAATTGGCACTTCCTCAAGTGTCTTTTTTATACTTAAGAAAAATTAGCATTTTCATATTACTGCAGCAGTAGTCTTCTGGTTCATAATGTCCAGATGGTCCATCTGCGTTGTTGCAAATGGCAAGATTTCATGCTTCTTTATAGTTAAGTAATAGTCCATTATAGTCCACATATACATCACATTTTCTTTATTCATCATCTAGTAATAGACACTTAGGGTGTTTTCATATCTTGGCTCTTATCTATAATGCTGCAATAAACATGGGAGTGTCTATATTTTTTCAAATTAGTGCTTTTGTTTTCTTCAGATAAATACTCAGAAGTGGAATTGCTGGATCCTGTGGTAGTTCTATTTTTAATTTTTGGAGAACCTCCATACTGTTTTCTGTGGTGCTGGACCAACTTACACTTTTACCAACAGTGCCCAAGAGGTTCCCTTTCTCTATATGCTTGTCAACATTTGTTCTTTCTTGTCTTTTTGATAATAGCCATTCTAACAAGTGTGAGATAATATCTCTTTGTGGTTTTGATTGGCATTTCCCTGATGATTAGGAATGTTGAACATCTTTTCACATACCTGTTAGCCATCTTCATATCTTCTTTGGAAAAAGTCTGTTTAGATTTTCTGCCCATTTTTTTAATCAGATTTTTTTTTTTTTGCTATTGAGTTGTATGAGTTCTGCATATACTTTAGACATTAACCCTTCATCAGATAAATGATTTGCAAATATTTTGTCCCATTTAGTGGGTTGGCTTTTCATTTTGTTGATGGTTTACTTTGCTATGCAGAAGCTTTTTAGTTTGATGTAGTTCCATTTGTTTATCTTTACTTTTGTTGCCTACACTCAGTAGTTTTTGAATGAATGAATGACTTAAATTGCTAGTATGAAAAATTCACTTGCCCTGGCCCATGTGGCTCAGTTGGTTGGCGCATCATCCCATAACCAAAAAGTTGCAAGTTTGGTTCCCAGTCTGGGCACATACCTGAGTTTCAGGTTCCATTCCCAGACTGAGTGCATGTGAGAGGTAGCTGATCGATGTTTCTCTCTCCCTTTCTCTCTCTCTGAAAGCAGTGAAAAAAGTGTCCTCAGGTGAGGATACAAATAAATTCACTTATGTCTCATTAGAAAAAGCTCTTCTAGAACCACAAAATATAACTTTAAACTGAAACAATAGAGAATATTTGCAGATGTTGAAATGCAAAAATTGGCAACTGAACTTAGAAATCACCAAGATGCAGGTGGTTTGTCTGCCCGAGATCCTAGTTTGCAGGCCTGCAAAGACCTCATGAAAATTACTTCTTAATATGTTGTGTCGATTTAATAAAATTACATAAGCTGGTTTTTTTGTTGTTATTTACAGAGTCAACGGTTGCAAGAAAGTTTGAAGAAAGTGGACCACATCAAAATCTTGGTATAGTATATAATTTGTTTTTGAAGTAAATAACTTTTAACTTTAACAACTTAGAATGCTTTTTCTCCAGATTTGATGCATTTCAGTGGAATTGTGGCAGCTCCAGTAAAAATACATTCTTTTTTTTTTTTATTTAAAAAAAGGTTTTTTTCAGTAACAGTTTACATTCAATATTATTTTGTATTAATTTCAGGTGTATAGCATATTGGTTAGACAGTCATATGCTTTACAAAGTGTTCCCCCTGGTATTTCCAGTACCCAGCTGGCACCATACAGAGTTATTACAGTATTATTGATTATATTTCCTATGCTGTACTTTAAAAACCACATTCTTTGCAAGAGACTCATGCACATACTAATAACCTAAATCTACAGTTAGCATAAAGCCTAGACATTTACACCATACACTATTTGAAACCCTACAGTGCTTTTCATAGAATCCAATTATACTTTTATTGTTAAAATTAAGAATTACACAGAATTAAATTACACCATTGACTTTACTTGCCTAACAACTGTAGAATATCTGTCCTCCTGAAATGAGAAATTATTTTATCTCTCGGAATGCTTTGGTTGACTCTTTCTACAGCCTTCTGACACCAGAGTTTTTATTTGCACAAAAGGGAATAAGGACAAGAAAAGCAAGTGCCCTGCTCTCCTCTCCCTTGGTATTTTCCTAAAAGATATCAACCAGTCTCCACTTACTCCCTGGGGATAATAACTAGACAAGGAAATGAGGATTTAGTAAGGCTAATAGCCAAGTGTCAATTCAGGTTTAAATGTTTTCATGGTTTTCTTTATTGTGTTTTAGAATTTTAGAAAATATATAGGTCAGATTCTAATTTAAACAGGGTCACTGTATGTTTCTCTTACAATTTTGCAGGATACATTTGGGTTTTAAACTAATATTTGCTTTTATTTTGGGTTCAAGTTAGTGCAGCTTATTCCCATTTTAGTGCATGGTTTGGTTTACATTCCTGAGAAGGGGCTGCTCTGCACTGCCTTCTGAACTTGTAGCCTATTCTGAGTTGATCTTAGTTGACCCAAATTCTAGCTCAGAAGAGGAGAGGGGCCCACTGGAGAAGCCAACAGATGAATGTAAGTCAAGAGACCTGGGTTTTAATTTCAGCCATACTACAGGGGCCTGTGACATTAAACCTAAGCCTGTGCGCTCAGCAGTCAGTGAAGGTACGCAGGTCAGAATCAGGGAAACCCAAATTATGAATTCAAACAAGCAAGCTGGTAGGAATCAAGACAGTGGTGGGCCTGTGTACTTCCTCTGTCCCTCCCTTGCTGAGCCGGCTCAGGCTCCCCTATGTCCTCTCTGCTTCTCTCTCTTTCTCCAAGCAGAGAGGATCTGATGGTGCTAGTTAATCACCAGTTGATTTGGAGCATCTTTACAAGGCTACATGTGGCCCAGACATAAACCTTTACCATCCCTCCTTCCAAAGACTGCTTTTCTCATTTGGGGATACAGTATTTGGTGAACACTGTGAGGCACTGTGGCCTGTTGTCATAGCTGCTCTTGTGAAATGCTTGCTGTGTACAATGCAAGGTACTGAGTACTTTACATGGATTATTTCATTTAACCCTCATAGTAGTCTCCCTTGTATGTGCTGTTCCGTCCACCTGGAAATACTGTTCTCCCTAATTCTTACCATGACTGGTTTCTTTTTTTTATGACTGTTTTCGTATCCTTAAATTTTAGTTCAGATCCTGCCTCTTCAGAAAGATCTTTCCTGACCACTCTATCTAAAACAGCCCCAACCATCCATCATTCTGTATCCTCCAGGTTTTTTCCTTCATCGCACTTACTACTACCTGAAATAGTATTATATGTTTGTTCATTATATGTTTTTCCCTGTAGAAGCTTCATAAAGGCAAGGATTTTTGTCTTTTTTTTTAATGGTTTTATGTCCTGTGCCAAATATAGTATGTGGCACAGAATAAGGCATCCAAGCATGAATAAATAAATCTAACCCATGAGTTGGATGCAATGTCTATTCCCTTTTTACTGCTTAGGAAACTAAGGCACAGACAGGTTGAATTGCCCAGGCCGCACAGCTAGGAAGTGATAGAGCTGGAATTCAAACTCCGAAGCTCAGGTTGTTCACCAGTGGACCATTCTCAGGGTAATTTACAGGAGAAATTAGTTTATTTTGCCTCAGTGGCTTGTTATGAAGGGCATGTATGGGAAGGCAAAATGAAGATTGTAAGACATCATAAAACACTGGGTTGGCCAAAAAGTCTGTTTAGTTTTTTCTGTAAAATAAAGATATATTTTTCATTTTCACAAATACCTTTATTGATTTGGATATTTTGAGTATGTCAGCTATCCCCTACTATTGGCTTCTAGTGGGTAAAGGCCAGGGGTGTTGCTAACCATCTTCCAATGCATGAGACAGCCCCAGAGCAAAGAATTATTTGACCAAAATGTCAATAGAACCAAGAAACTTCACAAACCACATTTGACAGGTTCAATCAGTCACAGCACCTTCTCCATACACTGCACAAATCTTTTTTGCTCTTCAGATACATGTTACCTCCTTGAAATAGCAAAGCATCATATGCTGAAAATGTTACATATCTTCTTCCATCTTTAGTATTGAAATGGCTGCACAAAAATTCACCAATTTTGATAATTTTTTAAAATTATATTTTATTGATTATGCTATTATAGTTGTCCCATATTTCCCCCTTTGTACCTCTTACTTCCTCAGTCAGTCCCCACACTGTTGTTCATGTCCATGGGTCATATGTGTAGGTTCTTGGCTACTCCATTTCCTATACTGTAGTTTACATCCCCTTGGCTATTCTGTAACTACCTATTTGTACTTCTTAATTTCCTCACCTCTGCACCCATTCGCCCTCACCCCCCTCCCATCTGGCAACCTTCAAAATGCTTATTGTATCCATGATTCTGTCCTTGTTCTTCTTTGCTTAGTTTGTTTTTTAGATTCCATTGTTAATAGACTTGTATTTATTGCCATTTTATTATTCATGTTTTTGATCTTCATCTTTTTCTTAAATAAATCCCTTTAACATTTCATATAATAATGGCTTGATAATGATGAATTCCTGTAGTTTTTTCTTGTCTGGGAAGCTCTTTATCTGCTCTTTGATTCTGAATGACAGCTTTGCTGGGTAGAGCAATCTTGGCTGTAGATCCCTGCTTTTCATGACTTTGACTATTTCTTGCCAATCCCTTCTAGCCTGCAAAGTTTCTTATGAGAAATCAGCTGACAGTCTTATGGGAACTCCCCTGTAGGTAACTACTTTTCTCTTGCTGCTTTTAAGAGTCTTACTTTATCTTTAGCCTTTGGCATTTTAATTATGGTATGTCTTAGAGTAGGCCTCTTTGCATCCAGCATTCTCTGTGCTTCCTGGATTTGCATGTCTATTTCCATCACCAAATTAGAGAAGTTTTCTTTCACTACTTTTTCAAATACATTTCTAATTTCTTGCTCTTTCTCTTCTCCTCTGGTACCCGAATAATACGAATGTTGGAGTGCTTGAAGTTGTCCCAGAGGCTCCTTACATATCCTCACTTTTTTTGGATTCTTTTTTTCTTGTCCTGCTTGGTTGTTTTCTGCTTCCTTATTTGCCAAATCATTGATATGATTCTCGGCTTTATCTACTATACTGTTGTTTCCCTGTAAATTGTTCTTTATTTCAATTAGTGTATTCTTTGTTTTTGACTGGGTTTTTTATGATGCTGAGGTCCTCACTAAGTTCCTTGAGCATCCTTACAACCAATGTTTTGATCTCTGCATCTGATAGATTGCGTATCACCATTTCATTTAGTTCTTTTTCTGGGGTTTCGATCTGTTCTTTCATTTGGCCACATTTCTTTTTCTTATCATTTTGGCAGCCTCCCTGTGTTTGTTTCTATGTATTAGGTAGAGCCTTTATAACTCCTTGTCTTGGTAGTGTGGCCTAATGTGGTAGATGTCCTGTAGGGTCCAGTGGCACAGCCTCCCCCATCACCTAGGCTGTGTTTTTGAGGTGTACCCTTTGTTTGGGCTGCATACACTCCTCTTGTTGAGCCTTGATTGCTGTTGGCAGGTCAATGGGAGGGATTCACCCAGGCCAGTCAGCTACAAGGACTGGCTCTGACTACTGACCACCAACCTCTGCCCTCTGTGGAGGATCAGCTGTCCAGGAGCAGGGTGGTGATGCTCCCATGTGGTCTGTAGTTGTCCACTGGGTGCGCAGGCTCTGGGGTTTCCCTGGTGGTACAGGCCATGGTCAGCCACCACCTGTGTCTGCTTGAGTTTTCCTGCCTGAGCTATAAAGCAATCTAATATGGTGCTACTTGTGCTGGGCTTGGACCAGGCAAAGCCAAGCTGTGAATCTAGGCTGGCTGCTGCTGGTGCAGACCCTGGGGCCACTTAGCAAGACGTACAGGGGCTGGGGGCTCAGTGAGGCTGACTGTTGTTCGTTTGATAGAATTTAGGAATTTGTGAAGCATGAGTGAAGACCAGCTGGCTATTCATATGCAAAACCAGCTTAAATGGCACCATAGATTGGATGGGATGGAATCTCAGGGGATCTCCAGAGCAGGGCAAACATATAGTAACCAGGTTGTTGGAGTCTCAGATATAGCACCAGCCTGATGGCTCTCTGGCTCTGTGGGGTCAGGACTCAGAAAAGGGTCATTGGCCTCTGTCTGCATTTCTTTCTGGAAGAAAGCTGTCCCATAGCCTAGGCCTTGATGCCAGACACTTCATTTCTCCCTTTATGCTGCTGGTGCCTTTCAAGCTGCTACCCAGGTGCTGGAGTCTGCATAGGTGAGTCCACGTGTGGGTTCCTTAAGAGGAACTGCTTGGGACTTTAGAAGTTCCTTCCACCAATTCAATCCTCTCTGGTTTTTGCAGCCAGACATTGTGGGGATTTATCTTCTTTGTACTGGTATCCTGGGCTCAGGAACTTTGTTGGGGCTGGGACTCCTCGTTCCCAAGATATCTCTTCTGAAATTTTTTCCCACCATATGAGGATAT